TTTTGTTTTTTTTCTAATTTAGGTTTGGATTGGGTTTTGCTTTTCTTTTTTCGGGGTTTTGAAACATCCCACTGGACAACAGTTAGAAAAGATTTCGATAAGGTCTGAATAAGGGCTTGATAAGGGGTTGATAAGGGGTTGGATCAATGTATTGGAATGAGATTTAAAAGATTTTTGTTTGGTGCTTATGTTTTGCCTTTGTTTTGCTTTTTTTGTGCTTATTTGTTGTTTTTTTTCTCTGTTTTTGCATGTGTGTTCATTTTTGTTGTTTTTTTTGCTTTTACTTTTTTCTAATTTAGGTTTGGATTGGGTTTTGCTTTTCTTTTTTCGGTTGTTTTTTTTGAAACATCCCATGCGACAACAGTAGAAAGATTCGGTAAGGTCTGAATAAGGGCTTGATAAGGGCTTGATAAGGGGTTGGATCAATGTATTGGAATGAGATTTAAAATATTTTTTTTTGGTGCTTATGTTTTGCCTTTGTTTTGCTTTTTTTGTGCTTATTTGTTGTTTTTTTTTCTTTTTTTTGCATGTGTGTTCATTTTTGTTGTTTTTTTTCTTTTGTTTTTTTCTAATTTGGGTTTGGATTGGGTTTTGCTTTTCTTTTTTCGGGGTTTTGAAACATCCCACTGGACAACAGTTAGAAAAGATTTCGGTAAGGTCTGAATAAGGGCTTGATAAGGGGTTGAGAAGGGGTTGGATCAATGTATTGGAATGGGATTTAAAATATTTTTTCTGGTGCTTATGTTTTGCCTTTGTTTTGCTTTTTTTGTGCCTATTTGTTGTTTTTGTTTCTCTTTTTTTGCATGTGTGTTCATTTTTGTTGTTTTTTTTTATTTTGTTTTTTTCTAATTTAGGTTTGGATTGGGTTTTGCTTTTCTTTTTTCGGGGTTTTGAAACATCCCACTGGATAACAATGAAAAAGATTGCGCATAAGTATGAATAGGGCGTGATAAGGGTGATAGGGGTGGGATCAATGTGTTATTGGAATGAGATTAAAGGATTTTTTTTTGGTGCTTATGTTTTGCCTTTGTTTTGGTTTTTTTGTGCTTATTTGTTGTTTTTTTCTCTTTTTTTGCATGTGTGTTCATTTTTGTTGTTTTTTTTCTTTTGCTTTTTTCTAATTTAGGTTTGGGTTGGGTTTTGCTTTTCTTTTGTCGGGGTTTTGAAACATCCCACTGGACAACAGTTAGAAAAGATTTCGGTAAGGTCTGAATAAGGGCTTGATAAGGGCTTGATAAGGGGTTGGATCAATGTATTGGAATGAGATTTAAGAGTTTTTTTCTTTTTGGTGCTTATGTTTTGCCTTTGTTTTGCTTTTTTTGTGCTTATTTGTTGTTTTTTTCTCTTTTTTTGCATGTGTGTTCATTTTTGTTGTTTTTTTTTCTTTTGCTTTTTTCTAATTTAGGTTTGGATTGGGTTTTGCTTTTCTTTTTTCGGGGTTTTGAGACATCCCACTCGATAACAGTTAAAAAAGATTTTGATAAGGTCTGAATAAGGGCTTGATAAGGGCTTGATAACCGGTTGGATCCATGTATTGGAATGAGATTTAAAAGATTTGTTTTTGGTGTTTATGTTTTGCCTTTGTTTTGTTTTTTTTGTGCTGATTTGTTGTTTTTTTCTCTTTTTTTGCATGTGTGTTCATTTTTGTTGTGTTTTTTTCTTTTGCTTTTTTCTAATTTAGGTTTGGATTGGGTTTTGCTTTTCTTTTTTCGGGGTTTTGAAACATCCCACTGGATAACAGTTAAAAAAGATTTCGATAAGGTCTGAATAAGGGCTTGATAAGGGCTTGATAAAGGGTTGGATCGTATTGGAATGAGATTTAAAAGATTTTTTTTTGGTGCTTATGTTTTGCCTTTGTTTTGTTTTTTTGTGCTTATTTGTTGTTTTTTTCTCTTTTTTTTGCATGTGTGTTCATTTTTGTTGTTTTTTTCTTTTGCTTTTTTCTAATTTAGGTTTGGATTGGGTTTTGCTTTTCTTTTGTCGTGGTTTTGAAACATCCCACTGGATAACAGTTAAAAAAGATTTCGATAAGGTCTGAATAAGGGCTTGATAAGGGCTTGATAAGGGGTTGGATGAATGTATTGGAATGAGATTTAGAAGATTTTTTTTGGTGCTTATGTTTTGCCTTTGTTTTGCTTTTTTTGTGCTTATTTGTTGTTTTTTTCTCTTTTTTTGCATGTGTGTTCATTTTTGTTGTTTTTTTTTCTTTTGCTTTTTTCTAATTTAGGTTTGGGTTGGGTTTTGCTTTTCTTTTTTCGGGGTTTTGAAACGTTAAAAAAGATTTCGGTAAGGTCTGAATAAGGGCTTGATAAGGGGTTGGATCAATGTATTGGAATGAGATTTAAAAGTTTTTTTTTTGGTGCTTATGTTTTGCCTTTGTTTTTCTTTTTTTGCCTATTTGTTGTTTTTTTTCTCTGTTTTTGCATGTGTGTTCATTTTTGTTGTTTTTTTTTCTTTTGCTTTTTTCTAATTTAGGTTTGGATTGGGTTTTGCTTTTCTTTTTTCGGGGTTTTGAAACATCCCACTGGGTAACAATTAGAAAAGATTTCGATAAGGTCTGAATAAGGGCTTGATAGCTCAGCTATTTTGTTTTGTTTTTTGTGTCGTTTTGGTCTAATTTAGGTTTGGGTTGGGTTTTGTTTTGTTTTCGTGTTGTTTGCTTTGTTTTGTTTTTCTTTGTTTGTTTGTGTTTTTTGTTTTTTTCTAATTTAATTGTGGTTTGTTTTTTTTTCAAATTTAGGTTTGGATTGTTTGTTTTTTTCTTCCTCCTGTTTTTTTTCTAATGTTAACAGATCAACCTCTTGAAACATTTTTTCTTATTAAGGCCTTATTAGCAAAACAGGGTCTCAAACACCTTTTTTGACGCCATCATTGCCTTCACACCAAATAAGGTCTTATTAAGGAAAACCTGTTTTTTAGGCCGAAAAAACCACACTTCCTTATTAAGCATCTATTGCGCTTCCGGGGGGGTTTTGCTGGGGGGGGTCGTGGGCCCTGTGATTGATGGTAACGGAAGGTCGTTTCCAGCGTAGCTTGTGTATCTTGTGTGTTATCGGTGTTGTTGTGAAAGTGTCAGTCAGCATGGTGCAGTGCCTTATGTGTTCCTAGTTGTTTCAAAAAAACAAGGAGCATTGTGGGCTGAATTTGGCATTTGGCTTTTCGAAATGGGAACAACCCTCCGATTGTTGCCACTTATCCATCGAAAGGTCGGAGATTGGCATCGGTTTCATGAGGCCAGCACCTAAAGTCACATATTTGGATACAGTAGTCCAACAATTGGATTCTGATGATATCTGATGTTTGGAGAAGCATGCTAGTCCCTGGTTGTCAAGATGCATGTTTGCAAGCGGTTGCTTAGTATATCATAGTATATCCCTGAATCTTAGTTTCTCTCCCAAGATTACTGAATCTTTGATTAACGTCGTGGTTGGGCGAAGCCATGAAAAAACTGCGCAAGAGGCGGGAGAGACGGGTTATCAAAGATCTGATCATCATGACGCCATGAAACAACGGGATCAATGTAGATCTATATGCTTTTCTATGCTTTGACTTGCAGATTGTGTTCATGGGCTCCGATCTCGCATGATCTCGCATGATCTCGCATGATCTCGCATGTTGGACCAGCTTGGTCTGTACCTTGCATTCCGCGATGTCGTTGAAGGTATGGCTTCAAACAGGTCCACGCTCAGGGCGTATGAATAACAAGGCCAGCCGTCTATGAAGGGCCCGGACAACCTGCATACATTGGTAGGAGTAAAAACATGTAAAAACTGCTGCGGCGCTTTTTTCCGTGTCGTGTCAAGGGGTTGGAAATTCACCAGTTGGATAATTTTGGATACCACTCTCAGGTTGCTGAAGAGTATCCCCCTAGTTGAATGATTTGGATGCTTGTGAATGGGGCCATCAGCGCAGAGGAAAGATAGAGGAAGGGGAAAAGCCCCTGGAGTCCAGCCAGGCCATCGCCAAGCTCCTACTTCCTGCTTGTAATGGTTTCTTTCAGTGGTTGGTCACTTTTAGGTATATGTGTAATGAAGGAGTATATGGGTCACAGTTGGGTGCGCCCGAAATCGTATTTTCTGGAACTAAGGATCGTCAACTTGTTGATGCGTGTTTGTGTTTAACTTCGTCAAAAAAAATTGGCCCACGGCCACATCTCCTTCCAAATAGCCCCTTTGAGGTCCAAAGTTTTGATCTTTACCGTGCCAATGCCCCGAGAATCTGATGCCATTCTTTAGCTGATAACCAGAGCACGTAGTATGATGAGGATGTAGTTGGACCCCCTTGCACTTGCACTGGTACTGGACCCCTCTTCATGACTGAAGCACCATCATCATCCCTTTTGGGTGATTATACTTGTGTTTCTGGTGTGTATTGAGGCCTCAGCATTGGCGTGGTTGATCACATGCAGATACCATGCCATGCGCAGGAAGTGAAGCAAGAAGACTCCAGAGATGCAGCACCAAGCATCCCAGGCGATGTGGCATCGGCAAGATCTGAAAAGGTCTCTAAAAGATCAGAGATCCAACTGACTAGGTGAATTGCCTGAAGCACCTGCGGATACAGCAGAGAAAAAGGCAGGTGCCCAGGACGGGAGACAGAGAGATGATGTAAAGTCTGCCATTGCCTTTTTTTGGCAACCTTGGACCTTGGAATGCAGGGTGCAAATCCCTGTTCGTGACTTTCGTGCGATGGAAGTGAAATGTCATGTGTCAAGAAACGGCTTCAAAATGAGTTCAAGAGCGGTTGAGCGCACCTTTAATTGTTCAAGGGTACAACGATCAGGACGCTCCACATGTGCCTGCCGACGCGGGAGACATGGACAAACGAGAAGCTGCCGAGGCCTGGTGGATGGCTGTGGGTTTAACATGGCTGCAGTAGATTCTAATGTAATAGTTACAATAGTGTAATATATTGCAATATGACAACACACATTTCATAACTTACTCTTATACAATTATACGTTTCATAAAAAATACAGTATCACATGATTAATATATATATATACACTAATCTAATATATTCTAATATATATATATACACACATATTATATATATATATATACATGTGAGTGCATATATATATATATATACATATATATACACACTCATACATATGTATATATATATATGTCTATAAGCATACAATATATTATGTATGAATGATGCAGTTATAGATATATCCACCCTGAAGCTTCACCGGTGGGCCAGGATATGGTCAAGGCTGTGAAGGTCTTGCAGAGATTCTATCGCCTCAAGAAATACCGCCGGGGCCATGGGGCCATGGGTAAATTATAACGACCTCACGTCGCGACCATACAATGTGGTGCCCCATAGTTATAAGTTGGTTTTTAAGCCCCAGTAACTATAGTTATAAGTACCATAAACCATAGTTATTGGAGTTATAAACCAACTTAGCTATCTTGGGGGCCTCACATTGTAATCATAGTAAGGGAAATGATCCCCAAATGGCTGAACTATTCAGGTTAGTGAAATATTATGAAATATTATCATTTACCCAGATATATATATGATATATGTGTGCCAGATATTTATCGATGGGGATATCAACCAGGGATACATAGCCAACCCATGGTGGGACGACCATAGCCATATCATATATCCCAACCATGGTTGATTCAAAGTCAGGGGTCATCCACAACTAATATAGGTACTCGTAAATGATGTTAAATGACCATACCATACGGTATACCAAACCGGCCCCGGCTTTATTTTTCCCACCAGCCGAGGTTTTTTGGCTTGGTTGGAAGTACTCATGGAAGACCTGAAACAGGTTGTCTCAGAAACTGGAACCCCTGTTGATCCCATGGTCTTCAAACGAGTTTTACAGGCTTACAGTACCAGTTGGGGCATTCCCAACCCCATATGGGGAGATGAACCAGCAATAACCAGCATATATAGGGACTGTGGCCAAAATGGATGGTTTAATGATAAAGTTGTTCCGTGGAAACTATCCCAAGAGTTGGTTGTTTCTATCCCCCAATCTGGGGATAGAAACACCATGAAATGGTGGCTTCGGTGATTTTCTGCTTCCCAATGACCCAGATTAATTTTCTTGGCCTTGAAACAATGGTTGGATGGGTTTCTCAGCAATTTTTTTTCCCACAGGGGGGATGAAAGTCTATGACTACCAACGAATGGTATGAAAAAATAGTGAGTTATTGGCAAGTGAATATCCATGTTTGATAGTAACTTACTTGTCAATTACCATTTTTTATGATGACTGGATGTTTAACTTGTGCGGTTTTGACCCAGAGCCAAATCATGCCATATCTTTTTTCCAGGTCCCAGGTCGGGTTAGGATGGGCAGCTCCACAGCTAAGGTTGGTTTGACATGGGCAGAAGGATCAACCCAGTGCAACTTCCTCAACATCCAGGTGTGAAGCGATGGTTGTGTCAGCCTGAGAGCTTCTCTTGAAGAAAATCATGGTGCAAGTGCAATGACGGGACCTAAAAAATTGGAACTGATGTATACCGTATGTCTCATGCTGCCATGTGTGATTCGGTATAGCGTGTCTTGTCACTGGAACATGTATTTTTTTTCATTTTCGTTGTTCTTCCTAGATGAAAGTGGTAGCATCGCAGGGTTTGACCATGACTGATAGCAGGTGATGAGCAAATTCCTGTTGGAATACAGCAGCTGGGTTGCAGATGGAATGGTTTTGTGCCAATCCAGTGATAGCTGACGAGTTCCTCATGAAAGGCTGGGAGGAGGTGCTTAAGCAAGCTCTAGATCCAGCACGTTTTGACTCATCGACGAACACCATCACAAGTGCTGATACGTCTTCCTTCACGTCAAGCTCATGCCGCCACACCAGTCGTATCAGGGCACAGAATTGCGGATTTCTTACATTACAATTACATGAGTTGTGGATATTTTTGGATGCAGGCCGCTGGATGAGGTACTAAAATTGCCCACCACGTTTTGTTTTTTGTATGAAGATGTATGAAGATTGGCCATGGGAGTCCTATTTCCCAAAAAGACATTGGGGTTTCGTCATGGTGGACCCCAAGTTATCCAAGTAAAGTATATCAATAATAGAACTGGTTCAACATGCTTCGACTGGTTCTTGGGGGAAACCCGGGCAAACCAAATGAGCAGTGTTCAAAACCCCTGTTGAGGATTAGTTGGGCGATTATACTACCCTTTATATTGGGGATTATAATAATCCAAGAACAATAAACAAATATCAATAATCCAAGAACAATAAACAAATAGCAATATTCAATCATTACAATAATTCTAATATTAGTCCACATAATCCAAGTCTAATATAGTGAACAGGGAATCCCCAATGAATTATAGTAAATTGGGCTTATAAACCAGTATATTGGGATTATAACTAATCATTGGATTATTATTAGTTAGTTTCAATATTGGGATTATAACTAATCATTGGGATTATAACTAATCATTGGGATTATAACTAATCATTGGGATTATTACTATATTGGGATGATTAAACCAATATGGGTATGGATCAATACCTATTAATACCATTTTTTGGGGGGATGAACATCCATTTACCAGCTATTTTGATGTGAACTACAGGGGTACAAGTTTTTGACACACTGCCATATTATTATGATACTAAACCATATGAAACCAATGATTTTCGTCCACAAGGCCTGGCCGCGATCCAGCGACCGCTTGGCACAATGCCTTGCGCGCCTGGAACCCGGCTCCAAGAAAGCTGCGGTTTTCACCAGGCCGTAGACCAAACTCAGGAACAGACACAGACACACATATACTATATATATAACTATATAGTATATATGGTATATATAGTATATAATTATAGTATATATAGGATATATAGGATATATATAGGATATATAGGATATATAGTATATATAGTATATATATATAGTATATATATAGTATATATAGTATATATATAGTATATATATAGTATATATATAGTGTATATATATAGTATATATATAGTATATATATAGTATATATATAGTATATATAGTGTATATATATAGTGTATATATAGTATATATATAGTGTATATATATATAGTATATATATATAGTGTATATATATAGTATATATATATATAGTATATATATATAGTATATATATAGTATATATATATAGTATATATAGTATATATATAGTATATATAGTATATATATATAGTGTCTATATAGTATATATAGTGTATATATATATATGTATATATATATATACATATATGGTCCCGTGTCTCGTGTTCACGGCCCCCGCCCCCTCCCCCCCACCACATCCACAAGGGGTGAGGGATACATAGACATATGCATGTACAAATACGTATACATATTGAATACATTCGCACATACACATACTACATACGTATACACACATGTGTATGTATATATATATACGTATATATATATAGTTACACTACTTACATATATGTTAGAAACCCCGCCTGGGGAACAACTGGAATCTTCCTAGATTCAAACACCACGCCCGCTTGCATTAGTTTCTCGCCTGAGTTGAGCAAGTTGGCTTCGATACATGCCACAAGGTGAAATGGGACCTGGAAGAGAGGCGCTGCTTTCACACTCCTCTTTCTCTCCTAGAAAAAGGTTTTGCTCAGAACTTCGTCTGAGTTATATTCTGAAAGTAAAAACTGCAGCATTGGAGCTCTCTCACTGACTCAGGTATCCCATAAAGAAGCTCAAAAGCACATGCCAAGGATATAATCAATCTCGAAAGCGACGCAGCTCGGTAGTGCCAGGAAAGACAACCCCTTCGGGCTCTGACACCAGACCAGCGGCAATCAAATAGTTGCGAAGGTCCACACACTTGGCACCCTTGCTCTCACCCTGCTTGAAGACCCAGTCGCAATAGTCACGGTACTTCGGCAAAGTGCCAATCTGATAATAGGTCACATCGTCAGCCTTCACCTTGGGAAGGGTGCACACAGTCTTCCCCCACTTTTCCAGACTGTTCACCATCGGAGGCAAGGAGATCTGAGGAGCCATAGGCTTCTGGGCTGACTTGTCCCCTTTCTTGGCACAACCACCCACCTCGCTGATCAAATCAAAGGCAGAATCTTCCTCCTCCGACAAATTCTCACTGGGCTCCACGGCGGCATGCACACGCTTGCTGCCATCTGTCATAGAACCACCGGAGATGGCCGGAGGCTGAACAAACGAGGATAGGCTCTGACCGTGAGCTTCCATGCGGGCAAGGATCTTTTTGACCACTTCAATTTCATCCTGGGACACGGGCAAAGAGTATGTGGACATGGCTGGACCTAATTGATTCCACGAGAGATCACTTGCAGGGACGGAAAACTAGAGCTCTTATCACCTTGACTTCACACTGGCATGCGAAAAACTGTACAATCACTTGACTCAAGCAGACATGTTGGTACTTATGACTATTCGGATGCAGAGGCACGATGCAAAAAGGCAAGCACGACTGATCTCTTTCCTACTGATCCCATTTGAGATAATAGGCAACCCATTGAGAAGAACAGTTTCCTACTCGCTCAGTATCGGCCAAATTAGAAAACATGGCTCAGCCTCTTCACTCTTCTCAGACGTGCAAACGGACTGACGTTGCTGTTCATCATGCTGTTGTTTACGGCTCTTTCCCAACTGCTGCCTACGGTGACGCTCCTCTTTCTTTCGATCTAAGACCAACTGTTCATCAGCTAGTTGATACTTACCATTTCTCAGCACTGAGCGCAGCAAGTCATGCGGCTCTCCTTTGTCCTTGGTCAGGCCGTCAGCGACCATGCGATCTGTCGGTACCCATCTGGGTTGCAAACGAGTTCGCTGTATGCATTGTCGAATCACAGCTATATCGATGGCTACCCTCTTGTCGTCTAAAGTGCCTCCAGATCCTAAGGTAACCAAATGGTCGTAGAGAGATCGGCAATCGCTCATTCCTATTGGCTGTCTACGGCTAAGGACCTCGTCTACTTCAGATAATAAGAAGGGACCATCCAAGGCTTCAGCTAAAATCAACATGCACCATTCTGCTATGCCTGACGCGCTGGCAAAACATTGGGCTTCCCCCCCGAGTGTGGAGGACACCACTCTGGGAAGACGGTAGGATTTCCAACCAACAAAGCTCAGAGGACAGTCATGACCTTGGCTAAATTTTTGGCTGGTGAGACCTACAATCCAGCCTCCCTGAGTTCGGTGATCCATGGCGTTGGCAAAGGCTGCATCCGACCAGAAACACACGGTGAGTTCACTAGGAGGTATGTAAGGTACCTTGATAGTCATATCACTATGTTGTCTAGCCCTTCGTACTGCTTGATTTGCTTGGAGGAGATTCTCAACTGTGGGATTGGGAAAACACTGTTGAGACATGGAGGTTTGAACACAAAGGTCGGGTCGTGATTGGCCTGACAGCCACCCCAAGGCCCCATTCACTGCCCGGAGGGCGGAAATCTCACGATCGTTGGCTGGCTTCCAGTGTTCTCGAGCGCGTTCCTTAGAGAGTTTGATGGGTTGAATATTGAGAGCATAGTCTTTCTGTTGATATTCAATCTCCATGGTGGTGGGATCCTGAGTGTATTCTACCCCCAGAAACTCTCCATGGCCTGATCTCCATTTTCGGAAGGGAAACCTGGCCTTCAGCTCAGCAATCGCACGATCGTAAGTGCTGCCACTGCCACCCGTCAGAGTGTCATCGACGTGTGCTCCCAAAACCCCTTCCAGAGTGCCTTCCGCATTGTAACAGTAGTAAACGCAGCTGTCAAAACGAGATTGGGAAAAACCACATTTCTGTGCCACTTGATTGAACTCAACGAACCAGTTGTGAGGGGCATCGTTGGCACCGTACACATTTCCTCGAATTCTCACCAGACTTCCCGGAGCCACACCTGGTACTCCCCCTGGGGGTAGCTCAGCAAAAACAGGATTCTGCTCCAGCTGTTCGCTAACATCAGCTTCCAGAAAAGCCCCTTTTATATCCCCAAGATTCATAGTCCACTTGTGGCTGACAATCAACTGTAGGAGGACGTTGCGTCCCAGCTGAGACAGGGTCGGCAAGTGACACTTGCCAGACAGCACCTTCTTCACTAGGTCTGGGTCATGGTGCCCACGCAGACACCATCGTGACTTCATGCGAGTCTGGCCATCTTCCACCTTCTTGGTGATGACAAACCTGCTGGACATGATCCGGTTGGGTTGCCTTGTTCTGATTTCATCAGCTTGTTTGGGATTTATCACCTCAATTACCCCTTTTTCATGCAACAAGGTGGACCACTCAACAACCTTAGATTCATCGATTAGTTCTTGAACATCACTGGGATTGTTTGAGTGATGAAGCTCAGTCTGCAGCTTCTTTTTGAGGAACCCTGCTAGAAAAACCTCAACACACTCTACAGTCTTTGCCAGAGCCAACATGCAGTCACCGGAGAACTTGCCGTGCTTGGGTGCTGGCTCGGAGCTTGGCTCTCGACTGGCAGCTCGTTTCTCTCGGGACAGTTCCAAGGAGGCTTCTTGAAAGTCAGATTGCACCATTTCAGGGGGTCTATAGAGAACCTCAGGTTTCTTAGTGCTATGCCTAAATCTTATGGGACCATAATGAGGCTTCACCTGAGATGAGCTACTGCTACTGCTGTGGAACGGTTCAGCTCGGGTGGACATCTGGGGGACTACATCAGGAATAGGAACACTTGAACTCTCGGGAGAGTTGGACTCCATGATCTCTGGTGCACCAGGAGCGCCAGCAGAGAGCGCTGCAGGTTCCAGGGCTTCTGCCTGGGACGGCACGGTCGCAGCGGAAATGTCTACCGCATTGGAGGACGCTTCAGGACCCTGTTGGAGCTGTTCTGGCATCTCTGGAAGTTCTTGCTTGGACAAATCCACATACTGACTGGTCCTAAGATTACCATCTTCTCCTACCATGGCAGCTATTCCTAACAACTCCCTACCATCGGCTTGTGCCACTGCTCTCTCATCCAAAGTTGCATGACGTAAGTGTTCAGGAGAAACTTTGAACATGTTTCTGCGATGGTAGATTAGTAAGTTGCGACCTACTTTGCCCATGACAATTGCCGTACCATACCACCTGCCACCTACAATACGGACTCCTCTCTGGTACTTCTGAGTGCGCCAGTAGCAGACAAAATCTCCAGGCAAAAATTCTCGCTCGGCTCGCGGTCGAGCATTGAGTGCTGTACGCAGGGTCTGCTCGTCCTGGGCTTGTACCAGGGACACTCGTGCAGCTGTTCTTACAGCTTGAGACTTTGCAAAACTGGAATCCTGGAGGGCCACTGTACCAGAAACTGCATCCGGGTTTTCTTGGAGAACATCAAAAGGAACACGTGGGTTACGACCAAAAACATGTTGATAGGGGGAGAGACCCTGCTGGTTCAACATTTCATTCTTGGCATTCATAGTTTGCACTACACATTGTTCCCAGGATTCTTTGTCACCCGGTTGGCATTGATCCAGCACCTTTTCAAACACCACCTCAAACAGATGTCCGTGTTTCTCAACTTTCCCCAATTGGTTATGTGCTTCGGCTGCTATAGTAAGAACTCGGATACCGGCATTCTCCAAGCTTGACACCAAAAGTTCTGATTGATTGGTTCGTGCTGGGTCCATCAAAAGTTCAACTGGTGGTCCAGCCCACTTCATCCAGTGATTCATGAAGAGCTGACGCAAGACCTCTCCGGTTTCTTGTTGGTGAAAAGGAACCATGATCTGCATGCTTGTTGCCCAGTCAACTATATTGAGACACTTGACCTTTTGGTTGGCAGCCCAACCCGGAAGAATCTTCACATCAATGCCTACCCTGTGATTGAAATCGACCACAGAGTGTGCCGACGCAGGGAGGCAAGGTGTTGGCCTCTGTCGCTGGGTACAGATCTCGCACGTGAACAGGCGAGCTGCTTCCAAAGCCTGAGAAGTGGCTCCAGCATTTCGGAGAACCCTGATCAAGTCAGCACTTTGGGGATGACCCAGATTGTTGTGTAACTTTTTGATGATTTGTTTGAGGTTCTCAGGAGACCCTTCTTCCTGGGCGCAACATTCATGCACTACTTGAATCAACTCACTGGGTGTCGCAGGATCCTGCACGGATGCAAAGGCACACAGGGAAGGTGATGGACAAACACTACTTAGCCAAGTGTGAACAAACTCTGAAGTGTAAACAGCAGCTTTGGCGCTAATGTTCTGACCATCCTTACACCTACCAGCAATGACCCTATGCTGTGCGTGTCCTGGGCAACACTTGGCGAGCTCTACCATATCATCATGGGACACAGCTAAACCCGTGGGTTTCAACACCGGGATCCCTGTGTCGGGGCACTTCAAGCCATAGGCACACATGGACGCCTTGCACAGGTGCATTTGCTTCAGGAGCTTCTTCATCGGTGCAAACTCCCAAAGTCCGGAACTCCACGGGTGTTCGATGAGAACCCTTCCTCCACGTTTGATTTGTCTTTTGGCTTCATCCACGCAAAACTGAGCTTGTTTTTCCGCAACTCTTTTGTTGTGAATCTGTTCCCACAAAGGCAACTTTGTCTGGTTGAGTCTATACCAGCCCCCCCAATGTTTGCATTCTGGACATAACACCAGGAGCTCAGGACGCTTCTTTTCCAAGACACCAGAGACCTGCTGTTGGACCTTCTTGTCAAGGAGGTCCCATCCCTGCTTGATGTCGAAGGAGAGACCTTCGGCTCCACGTTCCTGAGCGGCCAGAGCAAAACGGGGCGGAGAGAAGAGCTCTGCGACAACACACTTTGATTGCCCCTTTGTCCATGCTGCATGTCGTGACATCACACAGCGTTGTTCTCGGCGTGTAAGAGTTCTAGAATCACCTGACAATACCTCAAACCCAGAACAACATGAGCAATCATCACCATGGGGAACTAGATGTGTGTTCATGTCTACATACTCAGTCACATTCGTGGATTTCGGAACAATGGCATTCTCAGTAAGCTTGTCATCGGAAATCACCATAGTTTCATGAGCAGGAAGGGAAGGAAAATCCATGACATCGATCATATACTGGCCCGCACTGTTGATCTTGAGAGGCTGTGACGGTCCACCCTCTAGAGAAAGAGAGCTGTCGCTGAAGTTCAGAGAGGCTCCCAAACTTTTCATGGTTCCCCTGCTGAGCAACAGAGGAGCAGGGCCTCGAATGATCGCTGCTTCAACCCGACCCGCCTTGCCATTGATCCCGATGGGGAGCTCTACCACAAATTCAGTAAGCTCCTCCTTGTTGTTGCCAAAAGCAAAAAGGTTCTCCTGGCGACGCATCACAGGCTGCGTCAGACCCTGGGCTTGGTACATACGCATCATCTGGTTGAGGGTCTCTTGACCTATCAACGTCTTGCCACAGCCAGAGTCTATGATTCCGAATCCAGGTGAAGAGACTAGGAGGACTTCTTCGGGTTCTGCGTGTTCTGACTCTCCTTCTCTCTCGACTACCATTGCTACCGTAGACACTGAAGAAGGCTTGTCTGAGGACCCTGAACCCTTCCCGCCGCCTTTGGGGAGGGGGCACTCACGGGCCCAATGCCCCAACTTGTTGCAGCGACGGCACCTAGTCCTTTTCTTTACTTCACTGACATCCTCTTTGAACTGCTGCTGCACTTTGACTGCCTGGCGGAAATTGCGACTGCGCTGCAGCTTTGCGATCTCAGTGCGTCGCTCTTTCCAAGTAGCAGCAAGGATCTCGGCCGTCTCTGTCTCGTCAAAGTCACCAGGCTCGACATCCGTGTGTTGGATGCCGTGATCAGACAGAAAGGCCTCGACCTCTTCAAAGACAACAGCATCCCCCGCATCCATCTCAGGAGGGGGCTCATCATTCACCTCATCTTGGTGGGCGACGACCATCACTGGAGAGACCTTCTTGGTCTTGGAGTTGACGACATAGTCTGGAAAACACGACCTCAGGCTCGCTACTACGGTCTCGAACTTCAGGATGCCCCCTGACTTCGCGGTCACAATGGCCCTTTGATCGGCCGAGAGGCCGCTGCAGTTGAGAACCACCCAGCCTCTGGCTTCAGAGGGGAAGTCCACTGAGACCTTTCGTCGGCATTTGGAGAAACTCTCCTGGACCCGGCTGGCCCACTCAGCCATGCTCTCGCCATCTCGTGCGGCCAGCGAGAACACTTCTTTCAGGCATTCTGCTAAGAGGTCATGCTGCAACTTGTCAGGGAAACGCTCTTCCAAGATCTTCCAGATCTCTTTGTCCCCATCCTCCTTCGTCAGTTGTTCTATGGTGAGATGCTCTACGGCTTCCAGTGCTAGCCCATCCAGTAGGGTGAATACCCACGGCCCTCGTTGCTTGAGTTCCATGTCCTTCTGTGATGCCATCTTGGCTTCACACCACAAACGCCACTTCCGGAGCTCCTTGCCATCCAACGATGCCCCAGAGAAGCGTTTGTATTGGCCCGACTGGCCATCCGCTGATTTCACATCCATGGCGCTGCTTTCCTACCCTGACCTACCTAGGTCTAAGGGTGTCACTATTCAGACTCCGCTGCCAGTTAGAAACCCCGCCTGGGGAACAACTGGAATCTTCCTAGATTCAAACACCACGCCCGCTTGCATTAGTTTCTCGCCTGAGTTGAGCAAGTTGGCTTCGATACATGCCACAAGGTGAAATGGGACCTGGAAGAGAGGCGCTGCTTTCACATATGTATATGTGTGTTTATATATATATACATCTTACATATTTAATTATTATACATATAGGGACCATCACCATCTCGGGTGGGAGGGGGGGGCCACCAGACGCTGGGCCATAGATGGATGGATAGATAGATAGAGATAGAGAGAGAGAGATAGATAGATAGATAGGTAGATAGATATATTTTTGCTCAGTCCTTGTGTTTGTTGAAAAAGAAATCAAAACGCGACACTAGTCATTCTAAAGGATTGATATGATTTGAACAGCAGTTAGATCAACAAGGGTGATCCACAAAGTCGTGCAATCGGACACGTGTTTCCTGCTGCGATGCCGTTATCAGGTCAGTAGCAACCAAGCACTGTCTCAAGGCAAACGGAACGGGAGGTGAAGTGATAAAACATATTTTGATGGATTTGTTTAATGTCTTTTTGGATCCAGTTGCTGCAAGAACTTCATGGATTCTCTTGGCCAGTTGTTGGTGTTGAGGAAACTTGACACTTTGCTCCATTGATGGCCGGGGGGTTGACATCAGAAGCTTCTCATAAGCCAAATGTCTGAAAGATGGACCCAGGACCCAAGCCCATCTTCTCACAGTGCCTCACAGTGCATTCTCTGATTGGTTTCGGTGGTCTCTTCCTCCATGCATCCATGGGAAACCACCATGATTGCAGGCGAAAATCGTTTGTCTGCAGCCTTGTCTCATCTCAGTGTCTCGGCCGATTTGACAAAAGATTGAGCTATAGCAGTAGGGCATGTTAAGGCTATGAAGTTTATTGATTACGTTTACTGATGTCCAGCCATTGTTTTCCCCCAATGAACAGAGTTGACTCGGCTGTTACTACAACGGTTTGTTCGTTACGACGACGATAGAAGCTGCTAATGCGATAGATAGTTTAAGGCTATGACATACGATGGTATGGCTTTTAGAATTAATGGAGCTTATCTGCAGCTTTTCCAGATGAACAGAAATGCTCCAGTTGGGAAATGTGTTGCAACCGAGATATAGCCAGGGAAATTGGTTGGCAAGAGGTGGATGAAGAATCTTTATGAAATTACATTCGAAGAAAGCATGTTTACACTAATTATTTTAGTTTACCATATGTTACAATCGTTTCAGGTTGGGAACTGTTGATTTTCTGAAATGAATCCCTGAAAGACCTATCTTCGCACGATCATCAGCAAAAGGCTGTTCAGACAAATCGTGGCTTTTACGACAAATTCCAGTACAACGCAATCTAGCACAACATCCCATACATAGTGTATCATAGTGTATCATAGTGTGTATTCAAGCTGATTGGCGTCAGATGTTTCAGGTGAAGTGGGTCGATTTGCTGCAGCTTGCCGTGCCGCTGCCGTGCTGGCAGTTCATGAGGCCATTGTTGGGAAGGTGGACCCCCAGTGCAGCTGGGAATGCCATCACGTGACCTATACGATTTGTAATAAATCGTTGTCATTGACTCACTATTCGTACTATGTGTAAGTTCCCTCGCGATTAAGAAAATATGTTGAGCCGGGGCGGGCAGTTTAGATCTGTAGGGGTGTATGTCTGAATGTTTGGGAACCAGCCACCCAAGACCCAATGCTAGGACGTCACCACATGTTTTAATTACATGCATGCACTTAAATCTTAGTGCCTGTTGGGTTTGATTGCATTTGGACAGACCTCAGAATCCGCTTAACTATTCTCAGCAGTCCATGAGCTTGGTGGCTTCAAGCTTCACCTAGTTTCTCATTCCTATTTCATATTTGGAATGATCCACTGTCAAGCATATTTTCGGATGGTGGCCCAAGCAGTATACGCACTACGCAGATTTTGTGTCCAGGTCTTGTTGCATCCATATGGAATGGACAGCGAGAAGCATAGCAAGCATCATGGTCCTGATTCTCCTCGGGAGGAGGGAAGTGCTGTTTTGGCGGGTGGGGATTAGTGACATTTCCAAAGGTTCTATCCCTCTTTCGCACCCAAAGGTTTCATGATAGAAATGTGATTTTTAACAATAGAGTCAGATTCCGAATTTAGATTCCGAATTGGGGGATCCAATGGAATCTAATCAACGATGAACTGGGCTTTCTTTGTGAGATGCAGTGGCATAATCTACTTGATTTTTACCAGGGTCAATGTGTTTCTCACTGCGCATGCTGACGATCGATTCAACGGCATCAGTTTGGAGATCCTTTCAGCCAGAGACGGACAGAAAGGGACCTATGTGTCTTCTCGGAAGCCAGTCTTCATATAAATGGGCTAACGCCCAGGTGCCGCCGCCCCCCTTTTTGAGGCTTCGGAATCGCAGATGACTGAGAAAATGTAAGAGTCATAACTTAAAACAGTATTTGGATATCTAACTATAGACTATAGTGTTATGAGAATATTGCAGCTACAGGGCTTGTATGACAAAATATTTTTTAACCATTTGCTGCACCATTCTTGCAACCATTCTATTTACTATGCTGGAAGCACCCCTGTTCTTGTAACCGTTCTGTTTCCTATTCTGGAAGCATCTCTGTTCTCTTAAACATTATGTTTCCTGTTCTGGAAACACCTCTGTTCTTTTAACCATTCTACTTCCTATTCTGGAAGCACCTCTCTTCTAATCATTTGATGATTTTTTCTCAAGCCACCCGTCTTCCTGTAGCCATGCCACCTGCTATCCTGGAATCATATTTTTGATGGTCATCCTATCTGCGACCCTGAGGCCCTGAGGTAAACAAGTTTTCAAACTATCCCAGTCCCATGTCTTAGAAACACTCCACTGTAGTCAGTCATTCCTTCTGTCAACGCTCAATAGAATGGGTGGCCAGAAAAAGACACCGCAAAAATGCAATATTCGACCTGGCAAAGCGCTGGCAAAGGGCTAAAGCTGCACGGAGGGTTTTAGGGCCCTGGTGGAACGTGCTTCGCGCAGGTTTTGAAACCCTCTAAATGCAGTATTTCGACTTGGCAAGGCAAGGGCAAAGGGCGATGGCAAAGCGCTGGCAAGGGCTAAAGCTGCACGGAAGGGTTTGGGGCCCTCGTGGAACGTGCTTCGCGCAGGTTTTGAAACCCTCTAAATGCAGAATTTCGACCTGGCAAGGCAGCGGCAAAGGGCGAAAGGTGCACAGGAGGGTTTCGTGTCCTAGTGAAACGTGCCTGGCGCAGGTGTGGAAACCGTCTAAATGCAATATTCGACCTGGCAAAGCGCTGGCAAAGGGCTATAAAGCTGCACGGAGGGTTTTGGGGCCCTCATGGAACGTGCTTCGCACAGGTTTTGAAACCCTCTAAATGCAGTATTTCGACTTGGCAAGGCAAGGGCAAAGGGCGATGGCAAAGCGCTGGCAAGGGGCTAAAGCTGCACGGAAGGGTTTGGGGCCCTGGTGGAACGTGCTTCGCGCAGGCTTTGAAACCCTCTCTAAATGCAGTATTTTGACCTGGCAAGGCAATGGCAAAGGGTGAAAGGTGCACAGGAGGGTTTCCTGTCCTAGTGAAACGTCCTCGTAGGGGTGGAAACCGTCTAAATGCAATATTCGACCTGGCAAAGCGCTGCGGCCAAGGGCTAAAGCTGCACGGAGGGTTTTGGGGCCCTGGTGGAACATGCTTTGCGCAGGTTTTGAAACCCTCTAAATGCAGTATTTCGACCTGGCAAAGGGCGATGGCAAAGCGCTGCGGAAGGGTTTGGGGCCCTGGTGGAACGTGCTTCGCGCAGGTTTTGAAATCCTCTAAATGCAGAATTTCGATTTGGCAAGGCAGGGGCAAAGGGCGAAAGGTGCACAGGAGGGTCTCGTGTCCTAGTGAAACGTGCCTGGCGCAGGTGTGGAAACCGTCTAAATGCAATATTCGACCTGGCAAAGCGCTGGCAAAGGGCTAAAGCTACACGGCGGGTTTTGGGGCCCTGGTGGAACGTGCTTCGCGCAGGTTTTGAAACCCTCAGAGTTTCGGGCCCTGGTGGAACGTGCTTCGCGCAGGTTTTGAAACCCTCTAAATGCAGAATTTCGACCTGGCTTGCCAGGCAGGGCAAAGGGCGAAAGGTGCACAGGAGGGTTTCGTGTCCTAGTGAAACATGCCTGGCGCAGGTGTGGAAACCGTCTAAATGCAATATTCGACCTGGCAAAGCGCTGGCAAAGGGCTAAAGCTGCACGGAGGGTTTTGGGGCCCTGGTGGAACGTGCTTCGCGCAGGTTTTGAAACCCTCTAAATGCAGTATTTCGACCTGGCAAGGCAAGGGCTAAGGGCGATGGCAAAGCGCTGGCAAGGGGCTAAAGCTGCACGGAAGGGTTTGGGGCCCTGGTGGAACGTGCTTCGCGCAGGTTTTGAAACCTTCTAAATGCAGAATTTCGACCTGGCAAGGCAGGGGCAAAGGGCAAAAGGTGCACAGTGCACAGGAGGGTTTCGTGTCCTAGTGAAATTTGCCTGGCGCAGGTGTGGAAACGTCTACATGCAATATTCGATCTGGCAAGCCGCTGGCAAAGGGCTAAAGCTGGTTTCGTGTCCTAGTGAAACGTGCCTGGCGCAGGCGTGGAAACCGTCTAAATGCAATATTCGACCTGGCAAAGGGGTAACGCTGCACGGAGGGTTTTGGGGCCCTGGGGGGAACGTGCTTCGCGCAGGTTTTGAAACCCTCTAAATGCAGTATTTCGACTTGGCAAGGCAAGGGCAAAGGGCGATGGCAAAGCGCTGGCAAGGGGCTAAAGCTGCACGGAAGGGTTTGGGGCCCTGGTGGAACGTGCTTCGCGCAGGCTTTGAAACCCTCTCTAAATGCAGAATTTCGACCTGGCAAGGCAATGGCAAAGGGTGAAAGGTGCACAGGAGGGTTTCCTGTCCTAGTGAAACGTGCCTCCTTTAGGGGTGGAAACCGTCTAAATGCAATATTCGACCTGGCAAAGCGCTGGCAAAGGGCTAAAGCTGCACAGAGGGTTTTAGGGCCCTGGGGGGAACGTGCTTCGCGCAGGTTTTGAAACCCTCTAAATGCAGTATTTCGACCTGGCAAGGCAAGGGCTAAGGGCGCAAAGCGCTGGCTAAAGCGCACGGAAGGGTTTGGGGCCCTGGTGGAACGTGCTTCGCGCAGGTTTTGAAACCCTCTAAATGCAGAATTTCGACCTGGCAAGGCAGGGGCAAAGGGCGAAAGGTGCACAGGAGGGTTTCGTGTCCTAGACCTGGCAAAGCGCTGGCAAAGGGCTAAAGCTGCACGGAGGGTTTTGGGGCCCTGGTGGAACGTGCTCCGCGCAGGTTTTGAAACCCTCTAAATGCAGTATTTCGACCTGGCAAGGCAAGGGCTAAGGGCGATGGCAAAGCGCTGGCAAGGTGGGTTAAAGTTGCACGGAAGGGTTTCGGGCCCTGGTGGAACGTGCTTCGCGCAGGTTTTGAAACCCTCTTAAATGCAGAATCTCGACCTGGCAAAAAGGGCGAAAGGTGCACAGGAGGGCTTCGTGTCCTAGTGAAACGTGCCTGGCACAGGTGTGGAAACCCGTCTAAATGCAATATTCGACCTGGCAAAGCTCTGGCAAAGGGCTAAATGCTACACGGAGGGTTTGTTTTGGGGCCCTGGTGGAACGTGCTTTGCGCAGGTTTTGAAACCATCTAAATGCAGAATTTCGACCTGGCAAGGCAAAGGCAAAGGGCGAAAAACAAAAATATTCGACCTGAAGCGCTGGCAAGGAGCTGCACGGAAGGGTTTCGGGCCCTGGTCGAACGTGCTTCGCGCAGGTTTTGAAACCCTCTAATTTTGACCTGGCAAGGCAAAGGCAAAGGGGGAAAGGTGCATAGGAGGGTTTTGTGTCCTAGGGTGGAAAGCGTCGAAATGCAAGATACGACCTGGCAAAGCGCTGGCAAAGGCTAAAGCTGCACGGAAGGGTTTCGGGCCCTGGTGGAACGTGCTTCGCGCAGGCTTTGAAACCTTCTAACTGCACTATTTCGACCTGGCAAGGCGCTGGCAATGGGCTGCAGAGGGGTGCTTCGCGCCTCGCGCTGCGCGGGATGGTTTCGTGACAGACGTGGACAGGAGAAAGGGCATGAGGCGACAGACATAGCCAGGAAGATGGCCTTGGCTGATGCTGCACACCTGCGGTGATCCCAGGCGCCGCCCCGCCTACGCCAAGGCTAGGCAGGGGGCGGCGGATTATCCTTTTGGTAGGGGCTCTGCGACACTGTGACCTACCTATTGTCACTAGATGAAGATAGGATACAGCATGATACAGCATGAAGTAGTGAAGTATGCTTGGTGTAAAGCTCATCTTTCACGTCGTGAAGTTTGTGCGCATTCCGCCGTGCGACAGGTTGATGGGAACTTCAAGCCGCCTCAATTGGTCACAAAGGATGACCCACTTTGGCCCCTGGTGCCTTGATGCATCGGTTTCAGGATGGCCTTCCGTATCGAACAGTGAGAATGAGAACGCTGAAAAAAACTCCTGTATCTTACATAATAGGCTATATCTATATATTATATATAGGTTTCTAAGAAATTGATGAGTGTTTTCCCAAATCAGTTTTCCCTTCACAGGATCAACGGATGGACGGATTCCGGCCTGGCGAGGTGCGACCACGTTTCGATGGCGACCGTGTCTACATCCACGACTCCATTGTGCTCACTGTGATTGGTGGCAACACGCAGGTCACATCAGAAACCATCAGAAACCATCAGAAACCTACATTTTCATGGTAAACATACAAAAAACTATGGAAAATCACCATTTTTAATGGGTAAATCCACTATAAATAGCCATTTTCAATAGCTATGTTAAATTACCAGGGGGTACATTTTCATGAGAGTTTTCTCCTAAAGTTGCATCATGGGACAAGCTCCACACGCAGCTCAATCAAATTGATTGGTGACTTTTTGACAGTTGGTCTCCAAGTGTAGACATCACACGAACAGATTTCTTCTTTCTCGTTCGCGGACATTTCGGAATGTTCCGTGTTGCGATCCAGCACATTTAAATCCAGCAGATTGACGATGTACATATGATATAGATTCACTCGTGAATTCACTACTAGCTACACCATTTGATCCACTTGATGATTTGTGAAAGATGTTCCAACCCTGGCAATGTTTTTTACCCTCTGGTAATTTAACATAGCTATGGAAAATCACCATTTTATTTTTAATGGGAAAATTCACTATTAATGGTCATTTTCAATAGCTATGTTAAATTACCAGAGGGTACATGTTTTTACTGTTTCACTTTTTTGGCCAGGACCGATCTCAAGAGTTTGCATGGAGGTTGTATCAGCAAGACGTTAAGGGCTTTCAGGCTGGACCAGAAGGCAAGTGACGCGTAGGACTCTGATTCTGATACATTAAGAAAAAACAACAATACCCCAAAAAAACAAAAAATGATTATGATCATTTTCCCAATTAAACTTGCAATTTTGGGGTATACCCGTATACCCTAGTTTTGGGCAAACCCCCAGCTTTCAGGGCCAGGGGGGGGTGCGAAAAAACAATTTGTCAGAGCCTGAAACATTGTGTCTGAGGTTCACAAGGGCAGTGCCGAAAAATCAATTTTTCAGGTCGCGAAAAATTGTTTTTTTCGCAACCGCAACCCAGGCCCAACCCCAGCCCCTTGCAGAGAGCGCAGAGAGAGAATAAGAAGGCAAAGTTCTCTGGAGGCAAGGGTCCTGTAGCATAATGGTCAGAGCGTCGGCCTTCAGCCTTGAAGGTCGTAAATTCCATTCCCGGGCGGGATTTGGTTTGGGCACCCAACAGGGTCGCTAAGTTTTCTTCAAGTTTTTGGGGAAAACCTATGTTTCAGGTTTCAGGTTCCCAATTCTATCCAAATATAGATTTTGAGTGGATTGGAAGCAGTCCAAGCATGTGCGAAAAAAAATCGGAGCTTGAAAACTTGTTTTTCTGCAAAGCCCAATTTCAGCCCATAAGGCCATAATCCCGAGTTTAGATCCCGCAGACAGCCAGTTTTAGAGTCAGTTGCGCTTTCATGGTTCAGAAATCTCGGGCCAAGACAGCCAGCTTGAGAACTAGTGGCATGCAGTAATCTCATTTTCATGTAGCGCCCGTAAAAAGGTGGGGCGGGTCCGGTGCGGGTGGGGCGGTTGTGGGAACGGTTTCCGGACGTTTCTTGTCTGTCCAAGCTATTGCTATTGTGGTTGATAGCCTGGTGTTTGGCGAAGACCGCGTAGCTCAGTCGGCAGAGCGTCGGGCTAACGTGCCGGGGTCGTGGGCTCGATTCAAGCCAAGGCTCACTGCTGGCCGGTAAGTTTTCATCAAGTTATTGGGAAAACAATGTTTCAGGTTCCCAATTCTATCCACATATAGATTTTGGGTGGGTTGGAAGCAGTCCAAGCACGAAAAAAAAAATCGGAGCTTGAAAACTTGTTTTCTGCAAATACCGATTTCATCCCATAGGCAAGCGTCGCTAAGCTTTCTTCAAGTTATTGGGGAAAGCAATGTTTCAGGTTCCCAATTCTATCCACATATAGATTTTGAGTGGATTGGAAGCAGTCCAAGCATGTGCGAAAAAAACAGTTTGTCGGAGCTTGAAAATTGTTTTTCGGCAAAGACCGATGTCGTCCCATAGGCAAGCGTCGCTAAGTTTTCTTCAAGGTATTGGGGAAAAACCATGTTTCAGGTTCCCAATTCTATCCAATTATAGATTTTGAGTGGATTGGAAGCAGTCCAAGCATGTGCGCAAAAAAAATCGGAGCTTGAAAACTTGTTTGTCTGCAAAGCCCGATTTCAACCCGTAAGTCCATGAGGGGTCACTCCACCAAAAAAATGAACCGGAAAGGGAATTGCAAACCTCACGTATAAGCAGTAATTTAAGAATTTGGCAATCCTATTCCAGGGCCCCTCAAATTCTTAGAGTATTATGTGTATGGTATAGCTGAAAACATGTGACCCGCCTTGGATCCGAGCCCCTCAAATTCACTGTTTCTATTGGATGATTTGGTGACATGGAATGACCAGCTGCCAAGCTTCACTTGGACAGGCCCTTGCGGATGCCATCTACTCATGTACCTACCAGGTCTGTTTTCTTCCAGCTGTGGGGACCAAGGCTGATGGTGCTACAATATGTCGTGTGACCGCGGGAAGCCATAGTTTCAAATAGGCAAGCTGGTTCCATTGGCAGATAGTCGGAGAAAACGGCAAAAGAAATGGGGGATGCAACCAATTACGATATGATCCGATACGGGGATATTAAATTAAGGGATATAACTTGATAGAGCCAAGATGACATGGGTAGTCAATACCCATGGCACCCGTGATTTGATGGGGGATGAACGTCGATAATGGAGGAATTGGCCCTTCATTTTGGCATGGAAGAGGGATGATTCAAAATTCGTCTGCCACAACGAATTTTCCTTGGGTCTTTCAACATCTTTCAACATTTTTCAACAATAAAGTGTTGAACATATCCCACCCTGCGGATGCTTTTGTGGCAGGACATGGATGTGAGTTTTTGGGCCCTGCCGGTGGCAGTACTGGTGGACTACTTGGGCTTCAGGGTACTTTGTCGACCTCAGGTGCCGCTCATAACCTCGTATGCACATGACAAATTGGTCCTGCAAGTATGAAATGCATGGATGTATATACTATATACCTACTGTACATTTTCCATGTGATACTTTTTCCACCGTTGCTCCGAAAGGCAGAAATTTTAGTCGTTCTTGTAAAGAAAGTCTTTTTGCAAAAAAAATGCCGATGTAAAATGTCTCTCCATGTGGTCGGGTAATGTTGCCGTTTGGTCGGGCAATGTCGCCGTTGCAAAATCATATAATTATATATAATTATTTGGAATTATTTGGATCATCTCAAAGAAAAACGTTCCGCAAAAAAAGGTGGTTCTTTCGGAAACCTATTTTTCAAGCAAAAGGCAGAAATTTAGCACCATTTTGAAGATGCAGGTATATATATATATTACAAACATAGTATATATATATATACATATTTAATCCCCTTCGGCAAGCCCGCCGGCCATACAGAGGTGGCCCCAATGGAGTTTGATGTGCAGTGTGTGTAAAAGTGTCTGTGTGTAGAAGTTTCTGTGTGTAAAAAGCTTCTCTGTGTAAAAGCGTCTGTGTGTAAAAGGTTCTGTGTGTAAAAGCTTCTGTGTGTAAAAGCTTCTGTGTGTATAAGCTTCTGTATGTAAAGCTTCTGTGTGTAAAAGCTTCTGTGTGTAAAAGCTTCTGTGTGTAAAAACTTCTGTTTGTAAAATTGTCTATGTGTAAAAAGGTTCTGTGTGTAAAAGCTTCTGTGTGTAAAAGTGTCTGTGTGTACAAGCTTCTGTGTGTAAAAGCTTCTGCGTGTAAAAGCTTCTTTTGTAAAAGCATCTGTGTGTAAAGCGTCTGTGTGTAAAAGCTTCTGTGTGTAAAAGCGTCTGTGTGTAAAAGTGTCTGTGTGTACAAGCTTCTGTGTGTAAAAGCTTCTGCGTGTAAAAGCTTCTGTGTGTAAAAGCGTCTGTGTGTAAAAGCTTCTGTGTGTAAAAGTGTCTGTGCGTAAAAGCTTCTGTGTGTAAAAGCTTCTGTGTGTAAAAGCTTCTGTGTGTAAAAGCTTCTGTGTGTAAAAGCTTCTGCGTGTAAAAGCTTTTGTGTGTAAAAGCTTTTGTGTGTAAAAGCTTCTGTGTGTAAAAGCTTCTGTGTGTAAACGCCTCTGTGTGTAAAAGGTTCTCTGTGTAAAAGCTTCTTTGTGTAGCAGCTTCGGTGTGTAAAAGCATCTGTCTGAAAAGCGTCTGTGTGTAAATGCTTTTGTGTGTAAAAGCTTCCGTGTGTAAAAGCTTCCGTGTGTAAAAGCTTCTGTCTGTAAACGCTTCTGTGTGTAAAAGTTTCTGTGTGCAAGAGCATCTGTGTGTAAAAGATTCCGTGTGTAGCAGCTTCGTTGTGTAAAAGCATCTGTCTGTAAAAGCGTTTGTGTGTAAAAGCGTCTGTGTGTAAAAGGTTCTGTGTGTAAAAGTGTCTGTGTGTAAAAGCTTCTAAGGAGTCGAAGTCGGAGTAGGCAAAGGAGTAGGAGTAGGAGTGGTAGTAGTAGTGGTAGTAGTAGTAGTATTAGTAGTAGTAGTAGTATTAGTAGTAGTAGTACTACTACTACTACTATTACTACTACAACAACTACTACTACTACTACTACTACTGCTAGGACTGCTAGGACTACTACTACTACTACTACTACTAGCACTAGTACTAGTACTAGTACTAGTACTACTAGTACTAGTACATAGTACTAGTACATGTAGTACTTAGAGGAGGGCGGGAGGGGGGGGTGACTTTGATTCAGAGGAAGCAAAAACGCGCAGCAAGAGAACAAAGGAACAAGTACAAGCCAAGAACAGAAACAAGTACAAACCAAGAACAGAAACAAGAACAACACTTTCCAATCAAACACGCCGGCAGGCCGGCGGATTACATACAATATATATATATATATGTATGTATGTATATATATGTGAATTTTGTAAATCTCTTAGTTGAATCCAATTCTGTGACCATCGTTGTGACTGTGGCGCCAGATCCTGGCCGTCGGAGATCCACCAGCAGAGTTGGTCTTGGGTCCTTTCGTCGGGTTCCCAGTGGCAGTTCCTGGGACAGGGAAGGATTTCATCCCAAGTAATGATGGTCAGTAATGGCTGACAATGGGTAATAGTGGACAAGAGTGGTGAATAATAATGACTAATAGTGGTTAATAGTGGTCAATAGTGGTGAATAATAGTGACAAATAGTGGTTAATAGTTGTTGATAGTGGTGAATAATAATGACTAATAATGGCTAGTAGTGGTGAATAATAATGACTCATAATGCATATATAACCAACAATGATAGAAGAATGGACAATTGGAATCATGTGGTAAAACCAATGCCATAAACTCTACCATTTTAGGGGATGGTCCATACAACCCATTATGGTGATTTTGGGATATTTTGGGGTTTACTACATTGCTTAGAGAGTGAGATATTGATCCTCAAAGGAGGGGGGGTGCAAAATCATTGGATATGCTGGATTGTCTCTAGTTGCTCCTTAGTTCTGCGTACTTTCGGAAAATATTGGTGTGTTTGTAAATGGCGCGTACCCCCAAATTTGCCACTGTAATATAGGGACAATGGAATTTCCAAAATTTTCCACAACCAGTGGAAATTCAGGTGGGTTTTCCTATGGTTTTCCAAAAGATTCCGTAAATGTCGGTGGGTTTTTTTCCCATCACCACCCAAAAGCCATCGCCGAGGCGGAAGCCGAGGTGGCTTACGGCGCCCCAGGAGATCTCCCGGAGCTTTGGCGCGAGGCCACAACTTCCATGGCGGCAGCACAGAAGGAGCAGGCAGGGTGGTCATCTGAAAGTGGTACCAAAATGTACCAAATGGTAAACTAACATAGCTATGGAAAATCACCATTTTTAATGGGAAAATCCACTATAAATGCCCATTTTCAATAGCTATGTTAGTTTACCAGAGGGTACCAAATGGAGAGCCAAAAATTTGCCGATGGTGATCTCCAAAGTCATTTCTAGGGAAAGGTTTACAATTTCTGTGTAGCAGGACACGAATCCAGTGGCCTATCCTGGAGATTCTGCTGAAAGCCGATGGCGACAGCACCTCGGAAGAAGTATGAAACTGATCCATATTTAATTTTAGATCTCTTCAGATCTCTTTTGGACCTCCTTTAGATATCTTTTAGATTTTTTTAGATTCTTTTAGATTTCTTTAGATGTCCTTAGTATTTTGCTCTCATTCTCAGACAATAACTTTGGGACAGCTGTCAGTGCTTTAGAGAACGAACATGATGTTCACATTCTTCGATGTTGCAGCAGAATGTAGTCATGTTGTTTTCCTTCAACCGGGATGGATGCTGAGATGAAAAAGTTCTCAGAGTGAAACGGTCCTTACTTCAAGTGATATTCATCTAATTTTCATCATCCGTGAAGTTCCAACGTAAATCCAACACAAAACACCAGTAAGCGTCTAGGTCCTACATCGAATTTCACGGCCATTCCCCCCAGGATCAATGTAGACTTGCTACAACATGTAGCAACTGAAACATCAGTACCACCCAGACAATGGCAAAAGATGGCAAAAGTATCAAACATGATCAGCATTCGACAGCTATCATCAAAGCCAGACGTCAGGCAGCTGCAGCCGGAACCTCAGATCGTGGATTGAACCAACCCTAATGAAAAAGTTCCATCGTGATTTTATCATGTCACATACACAGAAAAGTCGGCAAAAGAGTATGAAATTGTACCTCTATAAATCTCAGTAAATCTCTATAGTACCTCTACGGGCAAACCCAGGCTTTTGCCCGCGCCGACGTCCACCACTTGTCCGAACATCGAAAAACACTGTGTTTTGTGGGACAAAATGCACATGTCCATGATCATGGCTTTCATCTTGCAACGCACAGCTTAGCAACCTGCGCGTTGAATGTTCAACACCATCACCATCATCATCATCATCATCTTGAAGATCCCTTGAATATAAAGCTTAACGGAGGTGTGGGTTTAATGATTCCCTCGAAACTCTTTTGAAACATCCTTAAGATTTCCTTGAAATCCCTTGAATATACAATACAAAGTTTAACGGTGGTGGGGATTTAATGATTCCCTAGAAACTCTTTCGAAAAATCTTGAAGATTCCCTTGAATATAAAGTTTAACGGGGGTGGGGATGTAATGATTCCCTAGAATCCCTAGAAACTCTGTTGAAACATCTTGACGATTCCCTTCAACACGCCGGTCAATATCCCTCTTCAATGTACTTGGAAACCGTGCAAATGTTGTGTGGGCTAAAGGAAGGGTTTGCGCGTACCTCTACAGTAAGAGTTTCTCCAGTATCCATCAGTAGTCCTGTTGGCTTCAACCCAATTCATCCCAAACTAGCCGAGGAGCAGGAGCAAGGCGCAGTTTGCCAGCTTGGTGCTGCATGAATGGGTGCTGACCTGAGACTTTCCCGACTTTCCCGGATCAACAGCCTGAAAAAATGGGGGGGTGATGTTGGATGATGTTGGACGATGTCTTTGAGATTTGACATCTTGTGTTTTGAGGCTAGGCATCGATCTTTGAAGAATTTTTAGGTCCCTGAAAAGAGTCAAAATCCCAATCCCCCTAGGTGCTACACTGACTTTGCGGGATGAAGCGGGGCCCACAATAGACATTGGCCAGGTATAGAAAAACATAAGGGTAAAACAATTAGTTCACATTCATTCAATTTGAAAACATTTTAATTTCATCGACAATCTACCTTTTCCCACTTTTTTCCATGAATAGAGTGGTACCCACCATATAACAACAGATTGGATGCACGTCATGAGGACCGTCGACACCCTGAACTTCGGCAGGAACTGGCAGCAATGGCGGCTGAATTGGGGCTTCAGGTGAGGATGTCAACTAACTGTCGAATCGACACCAGTATGTGGTCGAATCGACTTTTCTTGTTGCGATTTTATGTGTTTTCAATGCCCACGACATGTCATAAACATTCATAAACTGTGTGATAGTCCAGCCGATGGGAATGTTTATGAAGATATGGAGGATGTGAAGGGTTGGAACACGAATGTATCGAGTGTCAGTTTGTCACATGCTAGAAAGGAGTAATGGAGACATGAAGAGGTATATATAAAAAGGTGTAAGATGAGAACTGCTAAATCTAAAACAGTTGCTCGTGTGCAAGGATGTCGTTCAGCGGAGCCTATACAAGCAAAGAAGAGAATTGCAGACATCTTAGCCATGAAACTAGAAGGGAAAGTGGAAACATGTGGTAGGGGTGTCCCCTCAAAATCCTTCGACATAGATTCTTTGGGTTATTTTGGGCCAGATGGGGCGCTGAGTGCATTGCTTCACCTCGCACCTTGCGCCGCAGGGCTATCCAGTGTGCCTCATCAGTGACCTGCCGAAACCGCTGGCGAGTACATCGCTGTTGCGACTGCCTCCACCTCAGATGCTGAGCTTGGGGCCCTTGGGAGAACTTGGGTAAGATGTAGCCGCCTTGCCTTTTCACTGCCTGCTGGGCCTCCGTGATTGTGATACAAATTTCAGATACTTCCAAGAGCGATTCAGGATCACCAATGGATCAACTGATTTGATCATTGGAGGTACACGGCAATTTTTGGGTGGGCTGATGGTTCCCATGTTTGGGCATGTCCTGGTTGCCAAGGCGTTCACATTCTATCCCCGGCTCTTCAGATCCAGACAATCCAGAGGCTGTTCCCATTGATTGTCACAGGTGCACTGCGATCACCAACTTCAGGATGATAGGATGGGTATGAACCCACTTACCGTTCCATACTATGGGTGGATTCTGGCTTTCCTGCTGCGCTGACAAAGTGTACATGCTGCTGTATCAATGTTTAGCCATTCTTAAGTTTTGGGGTTCTCAACCATTCTCAAGTGTTCTTATATCAACTATAGTTATTATATCAACATTTAATAATAAGACATTATATATTATTCAGCATCAACTCTTCTCGAGAAGTATAGACAGCGCCAGGGCGAGGAGTTGCATTTTCGAAGCCCTGCTGAAGTGTTGCCACCGGAGGTGGGATGAAACATGAAAGATGATGAAATTGTGGATAGTATTTTCCACATGGTTATGATCATCTTTTTCATTAATACATATTATTATCACATTGCTATGTTCATTATTTTGTTCGATTATCATAGATGCATAGTACTGTAGTCTTACTATACTATATTATTGTTCAGTTTCAGTGGGTATCATATGGTATCCAGTGGTATTGGAATGCGCTTCCCAACCATTGGGGAATCAGTGGTTTCCTCCGATTCGGAAAGTTGGGGGCTGCGACCCAGCGATGGGATTGTTTGGTTGGAGCCCAATCTCTTGTACTTATCATGTTCTTGCAATGTTCAGAATCTAATTTAATTTAATATGTCAATTTAATATAATATTTATAATAAGACATATATATATAATAATATATGTGTGTATATAATATATATGATATCCGAAAGGGAATATCATGTTGATGGATTTTGAAGAAATAACATGAAATAACATTGTTCTGCACATACCGAGTATCTGATTTTCATAGTATCTCAAGATGCACTTTCACGTTTTCATCCACTGGCATCCACTGTATCCAGATCTCGCTGTGCCAGATCAACTTGGATCCAAAGCCTACAGACTCCCGCATCGTGGACCCTGTGAAGCGCATGCGCCGCGAGGCAAAAAAGGGGTCGGACGGGGACCGATGGGACCATCTATCATCAGCTATCATCAGCTATCGTATTGTTCACCAGGGTACGAAGGGTTTTTCATGGTTTTTCCTGACAGAAAACTTGTTTGATGGTGGATGTTGGATTCTTGATCATGTGAGTAGACAAGGACATGTTTACCTTTGATGCGGCCCCATACTTCACCTGAGAAACAAACACCAGGCGTTGTGGTCACTGAGTGTACCTCCACTGCCTCCAACCCATGCTGTCAGGGCCCTAGGTTGCGTCGATGATCAAACCCATGATATCAACTGACTGGAGATCGATTGATTGATTACTTTCACATACTTTCACAATGTTTGAGGTTCTGCAAGGTCTTTTTGAATTTTGGGGGGACAGGAAAGCATCTTGCAATCCATGTTTTGACATGTGTTTGGCATGAGTCACTTGGCGCCAAACCTTTCAATAGTATCGATTTCAAGCAATCCATCCAATATAAAGCCCATCACATTCGTCATTTTTCATCAGCATTGACACATCCATGCAATTCCCCTGGTAACAAGGTCACAGCAGCAGCTAACACAGGCCAACGGGTTTCCAGCGACGCACTGAAGGCCTGTGAGGGATCAACATTCGCAGAACGGGTAGTTTTCCTCTACTTGTTGCGGATGGGTCAGTTTGTTGCGCTTCTTGAGTTTCGAAATGTGTGATTCCCTTTACCCCATCGAATCCCAAGTGACATGGGTTTGTCTGAAAATGAGATCTTTCCGAAAACCATTGGTTATTCCACACCTGGACCTGTCAGGTGAGGGTCTAGATTTATCAGAGTTGCTTCCTTCTCCTCCTTCACACTGCCGGACCTCAACTGAAAGCTACAGATCTAAGTGAGCACTGCCGGACCTCAAGTGCGAGAGCCAGATCTCAGTGGCACTGCGGGACTTCAACGGCAAGCGCCAGAGCTCAGTGGGCACTGCGGGACCTCAACGGCGAGCGCCAGAGCTCAGTGGGCACTGCGGGACCTCAACGGCGAGTGCCAGATTTCAGCGGGCACTGCCGGACCTCAACTGCGAGAGCCAGATCTCAGTGGGCACTGCGGGACCTCAACAGCGAGCGCCAGAGCTCAGCGGGCACTGCCGGACCTCAACTGCGAGAGCCAGATCTCAGTGGGCACTGCGGGACCTCAACGGCGAGCGCCAGATCTCAGTGGGCACTGCCGGACCTCAACTGCGAGAGCCAGATCTCAGTGGGCACTGTGGGGCCTCAACGGCGAGCGCCAGAGCTCAGTGGGCACTGTGGGGCCTCAACGGCGAGCGCCAGAGCTCAGTGGGCACTGCCGGACCTCAACTGCGAGAGCCAGATCTCAGTGGGCACTGCATGCGAGACCTCAATTGCGAGCGCAAGATGTCACATACAATGTCAGAAGAGATTTCAGATAGAATGTCAGAATACTTGTATATTGTGCCAGACAGAATGTCAGAATATATGTCCGATAGAATGTCAGAATAGATATGTCAAAGTTGGTGGGGACCACTCGATGAAAGTAACTTTCATATTTTCATGTTTTCCGATTATTCATGGTAATATGATGGTTTTTTTCTCGAAGCTAGTGCATTAGTATTAACCGTATTAACCAATGGTATTATGAACTATATTAATATATGTATATTTTTCAGACAAGCCCACAGAATTCCAACGTTAGTGGCAGCAGGAGCTCTCAAAACGAGCACAGCAGGAGCTACCTCAGCAAGTCCTTGACAGGAGACCCTGGCGATCCCTGGCGTTTCTGGGAGGGGTGGCCGAGGTTAACACTGGTTAAGATTCAAGAGTTTTATATAGAGTTATATAAGTTGAAAATAGTTGAAAATTGTTTTTTGAGAGTGTGGTTTCGATTCGAAAGATAGCCTCTCAAGCCGGATCTTCATAGACCTTAAGGTAATCCAAATCGTCCGAAACCCACACTCGCCTTAAATTTCCGCAATTTGCTCCCCTGTCTCCAAACTATTTGCACAGCTGGAACGCATGGAATTCGTATGAGTTTGTAACACACGTTGTGCTATCAGATTGAATCCCAATGACAGGCAAAACCTGTTTCAATCTTTTGGAGATATGTGTTTTCGTTTAGAGGGTCCACAATCAAATGTTTCAATTAAGATGTGTATGTTGATCCAAGCAGATGCGTCATATTTTCATGACTCGTACACCATTCGAATCCTTCATTGAACCGTGCAAGCTGTACCAGCAACCAGGATAAGCTCTGAGGGCCCTCCTCTGGACAGCAGAGGGTGGACGGAAGTACTTCACGCCTCAGGTGGGGACCCTGGGAAAACAAACCTATACCTGACTTCTATGTTTGGATGAGTGTGACCGTGAATAAACATCAGGGAACCAAACCCAGCAGAGTACCTAGAGAATATTGTATGACCATCGGCATTATCATAGTCTGTATACGTCGGTATAGTAGATCATGGTACATTTTGGATCAGATGCGTCATAGATGTCGCGCCATCTGGAGCTCACACCTGTATTGGTGTCACCTTCCCCAAGTATTGGAGGAGTCAACATCCGACACATGTCCCGTGTGGCAGCCCTGGCCAGTCCATCGGACATGTTTCTGGCTTTGGCATCAGCCTGGGGCAGCCTGGGCAGCTGGAGTGTTTCCCACATCATAAAGGTGTCCTTCTGTGATTTCTATCTGGAGTCTTTGCTGTCTCAGAAGGGATCTCAAGAGAAGGGATGGAAATTGTGCATGCTCCGTTCATCTCTCTTTGGGCGAACTGGAGAACTGGAAATTGGAGAACTGGACGCTCTTGGACGCCTATGGATGCCTGTGGAAGCTGTGTATCTTATTGAATCTGACTGGTCCGAAAACCAAATGATACAGCAACCTTCGGTAGCTACATCCAAGACAAAGTCATGTGACCTGTTCCATCCTTCTTCTATCGCCAGGTGCTTCGGCAGCAGCTTCTCTACAGCGGGAGGCATCCCTTCAAATTCTGTGTGGATCATGGTGGATCTACGGAGTTCTTTGGGTCATGTTGAAGACACCAAGAGAGTGCATGTTCATTGAGATTCCAAATGATTCTCAGGCTCAAACTAACAGCGACTGCTCATGGCAAAGATCCGAATTGGACCATGAGCAGAAACATCCACAGCTACTTTCTGATTTGCTCGACATGGTCAGGTGTTTCGTTTCAGACAGGCTCATTTGTACCATTGATCGGCATAGTTCTTGCATAGACTGCGTGCCTCGCAACATAGTTACATCATGTTACATCCAAGTGTGGTTTGCTCAGCATGTTTACAGATTTGTTAGTGATGCTTTGTCCAGATCTTCAGTGATTCCAAACTGCTGGGTGTTACGCGCTCGTCCAACAAACGCGAGCCAATGTGCACAGCAACAATGAGATCAGCCAGTTGATGTGCAGCCACAAGCGCTTCCTGGTTGCAAGGGCGGTCGTCGTTTCTGATCAGTCAATGAATTTGGAGGGTCTACATGGTTACAGTAGTAGCATTTTTTAACAGCCAAAAGGTACGCTTATAAATTGTTTGGAATATATTGTAATACTATACATATATATTGTTCTTTATAATATAAGGGAAGATATTTATTTAGGTTTTTGCTTTTGTTCGGGTGAGTTTGGGGATTTGTTTTCGTCCTTTTTGTTACACCTTCCATTGTTTTCTGCTTTTGGTGCCTTTCAGGAATTTGTTTTCGCTTTTTTCCTGCTTCAACTATTTTTCTTTGCTTCTCTCTGCTTGTTTGCTTTTCTGCTTTCTTGCTTCTCTGCTTTTCTTCTTGTTTGCTTCTTCTGCTTCTTCTGCTTTTCTGCTTCTCTGCTTCTTTGCTTCTCTGCTTTTCTGCTTCTTTGCTTCTCTTCTTCTTTGCTTCTCTGCCTTTCCGCTTCTTTGCTTCTCTGCTTCTCCGTGTTTTGTTGTTCGCGTTTCTTTTCTTTTTGCTTTTCTGCTTTTTGCTGCTTCTTTGCTTCTCGGCTTGTCTGCTTTCGTTTCTCTGCTTTTCTTCTTCTCTGGGTCTTTCTGTTTTGCTTTGGTGTTTGTCTTATTTCTGTTTGATGTGCCATGGCCAAAAAAAACATGGGTTAGTTTCCCATAAAAGCAATTTGTCATGAATCCATGCATAAGTATTTGCATACCGATAAGGTTGCCATTATGAGATGGATGATCATAGGTTATATACCATGTTTTGACCCTAGCACATATGGTCCTTGTTCTTTAACCCTTGTACATGTTTAATGTTGTTGGCCTCTTTGTTTCTTTCCTGTTCTTCGCCTGCGCTTGGATGCTTCTCTCCTTTCTGCTTGGGTGCTATCATGCGATGTGCTCGTCTCTCTTACACTGTGTAGTCTCTGGATGAGATTGCCTGAGTTTCTTGCTCTTGCTCTTGCTTTTCCCTTCCCTTCCCTTCCCTTCCCTTCCCTTCCCTTCTCTTCTCTTCTCTTCTCTTCACGACAACAGCATAAACCACAGCCACCGCAACAACAACAGCAACACCAGCATCAGCACCAGCATCAGCATCATCTATAACCTTCAATCCCCTTACCCGCCCCCACACCTAAGCCCCTAAATGACAAGGATAACGACAACGACAATGACAAAAAGAACAAGAAGAACAAGAAGAACAAGGAGAACAAGAAGAACAAGAACAACAAGAAGAACAAGGAGAACAAGAAGAACAAGACGAACAAGAACAACAAGAAGAACAAGAATAACAAGAAGAACAAGAAGAACAAGAAGAGCAAGAAAAACAAGAAGAACAAAACCAACAAGACCAACACAACCAACAAAACTAACAAGACCAACAAGACCAACAACAACACTTTCAACACCTTCAACACCTTCAACATTTTCAACACCTTTAACACTTTCAACACTTTCAACACCTTCAAACCCCTAACTCCCCCACTCCTCACCCCGCACCCCCACACGTAAACGCCTAATCCCTCCCACCCCTTACCCAACAAACATAAGAACTGCAAAATCGTGCAAATACCACTTAAACCAAGGTTATAGCTTCTAATTGCTGCAAATATAAGGGAACAGGAATCGGAAAAAACAAAATCCCCAAACTCACCCGAAAAAAAAAAATCACCCTAAATTCAAGACAAATTGAAAAACATAAATAAACATGTGGTAAATGGCATACTTCACCATGCTCCTCAGCTGACTTTTCAGCCACTGGAGGAAAAAAATGGTGTACTTGATCAGCCCCAGTTTGTTCCCAAAAACGATGAACTGTATACATGTGTATATCATAACTTATGCCAATTGTTGATTGTTAAAAATAATCACATGAAAATCAAAAAAATAATGGTTGATTACCCCGGGATCAGCTTGTCAACCCTAGCACTGAACTGAACGGATCAGTTTCTCAATCTTAGCACAACTGAACTGAATTCCGACGGAACGATACATCCGCGCTGAGATACGGTGAGATGAGCATTGTTGAAGACGAAATCAGACTCCGATAGGGCCAGTAGGATGATTCTAGCAGTCCCAGGCACTCTCATCATTCCCCAGTCTGTGCCCATTATATGCCCATCAAATGCCCATTTTGGCAGGGAGTGATGCTCAAGCAAAGCCTGTCGAGGCTGGATTTGGGGTTGGTTGACATCCAGAAAGGGTCAGGATGGACGGCACGGGTCCATACCTTTGTTCTGACATTCCGACGGACCTCGAGATTCTCAAACTCGGGGGATCCAATCAAGAGAATCTGGAGGTAAAATCAGCATGGATAAGTATAGAGAAAGCCCATGAAGTGATCTCAAATGGAGGAGACAACATGGGCCACATGGATGTCAATGTAGCATCCCAACTTGCTCACCAGAAGCTCGCCATCTCTGAAAGGATCCTATTCCAAGCTCCTGCGCCTTCCTATGCTGCGGACTTGGATGAGTTGATATGGATCCCCAAGACTCGCGGGGCGAGGTGGGGGCGGGCTGGGATTCGTCAGGATGGTTCAGGCCTTTTTGAAACATAAAGATGTCACAAAATTGCAAACAGCATAGAAAAGTGGCTTCAACCATTCTCAAACACCTGTTGGTTTTTCATGTTGTATCGTAAAAAAGGAGGAGTGCAACTGCAGTGCAACTAGTGCAATTTCAAACCATGGTAAGGATGATTAAGGTATGGGGCTGATATTTTGCCCTTTGGAATGCTGGGATCCTAAAAAAGAGCCTGGATCTTGGTTCGCCACCCGTGCCGTTGCGTCAAAGCTGCACTACCGCTGTGGAGAAAGTGTGGACACGATCTGTGTTCCGTCGAGTATGGTTGAGTCCCAACTTGGTACTGAACTCTATCATGTGACAATTTGTATCAATATGTGACATATAGTTGGATCATATTCGCATGTGACTGTGCATCATCATCATCATCATCATAATCATAATCATAATCATAATCATCAACATCATCATCATCATCAACATCATCAACATCATCAACACCATCATCATCATCAACATCATCATCATCAACAACATCATCATCATCATCAACATCATCAACATCATCATCAACATCAACATCATCATCATCAACATCATCAACATCATCATCAACATCATCATCATCAACATCATCAACATCATCAACATCATCATCATCATCAACATCATCAACATGATCATCATCCATTAATATCCATTAATCATCATCATCATCATCATCATCAACGTATCACATGCAAACGTTTGCTCCTGCCAGGTCCACAGCTGAGGACAATGCCATACCCGCATTGTTGATGCAGCAGCTCGCCACTGCTGTTCAGATCTGTTCAGCATTTTTTCGCGGTGCAAAATTGGAACATCTGTCGGGACATCTTTGAACTAAGGTCGCCATCAGCAAGGTATATCATCATGTACTTCCACTGCAATGGTGTGGATTTGGGTATGTGCAGAGGCTTTTGTAATGTGCTACGGAGGCAGTTCCGAGTGCATGTGTTGCTTGGCATTGGCAGATGGAGTAGACGAGCTGACATTTGCAGCTGCCATGTGTGAGCAAGGCTTTGAGATGGCAGAAATCCATGGGAAGAAAAGGAGACTTTTTGGACCGAAAAGGAGATGATAGAAACCTACAAAATTAATTTGGGCGGTACATAAGGATCCGGCAAGCAGAGACAAGAAAGGAGATAATGTCAAGGTCAAGACAAAATGCTGAGGTTGCTGAGGTACATGGCTAGTAGGGAGCAATCAGAATTTGGCTTCTGGATGCTTCTGGACTGTATGATCCGTAAGTCAGGAGTGCTGCAATCAGATATTGCAATGATATGCAATGATGGCATCTGAGTCGCAGCAGGGTCAAGGACCCGAAAGATTTTGGAGTCGCCGACCTGCCGAGCCTCTGAGGCTTGCAGTTGAATATCCCGGCTATGGCTTGCACAATGGGACACCTAACCCTGAATCAATTGAGGCGCGCAAACGGGACACTTGCAAAGTTGGGTGCTATGAAGGGTGCTGAAAACATAGGGCTCCAGCTGCTTGTCTCTTCATAATGGAGGTTGCCTGGCGTTTGTTCTCAAGAAAAAGGATTGGACATGATTTGACTCACACTCCGGTCAGTTGTGAAGAGTGATGAAGCATGCCTTTTTCGCACTGGTTGCATTTCTGTGTTTGGGCCTGGGGAAGTAAAGGTACAGATCGACATGTAATGGCTCCAACAATGGATCCAGGGAGCTGGTTCGACATAGCTCGCGAGGAAACGGCGAATTCCGCTATGGACTTTATCCTTGATCATTTGCAGTGGCCTGTGGACCGAGGGCATGGTGCTGGTTGTCGAAGATGCCATATCCTGCTACATCTTGCAGCTGTAGACACGTGTAGACTGTCCTCGTATTTGCAAAATACAAGATATTATATACATATATGTATATATATATATTATTATATATGTATATTATTATACATATATGTATATTATATATACACATATACTATATATTATATATATTTTATATTATATAGATCAAGGTGTCGTATAGTATGTTATAGCTGTATTAACCCCAAAGGATGAAACGGCCAGGACTCGGTGATGATCTTTGGGCGCTCCATTGGCACGGGACCAGCCATGGCCATTGCTGCCACGCCTGGCTTAGCAGGTGGGATATGCATGGGATATATGATTTATATATGATTTATATATGATTTATATATGATTTGTGACATTTATGTCCAAGAATATATGAGCTAAAAATAATCTATATTAGAGATTTAAGGATAGATTTGGGAACCATTTTAACCATGGTTCCCCGCATGTGTCATAAGATGCGGATATATATATATGCAGATTTGGGAGTCGTTCTAGAACCCATGCAAGACTTTTAGTATCCGAGTGACATCTGCAGATATAGATGTGTATTTTTGCTGCAGCGGCGAAAAACCGCAAAAGGGCGGCGAAAGGTTCGCGAAAGGTCTGAATACACCTGTTAGACTATAGATGTATGCAATATGGTATTCATATGTATTCATGCTTGGCAGTTACAGTTGCAGCAGTTGCATTCATGCAACCATTGAACAAGAATTCTGGGAGTTTTTCTCAGATAGGAATGGGTTTTAGTATTGGAATTGAAACACCTGCCCATCCTCTCATGAAACATGAGTTTTAAAAAAACATTTTTATAGGCGAGAAATCCGCGAAAGGTTCACGGAAGGTTCGCGAAAGGTTGGCAAAAGGCGAGAGTGCCAGGATCCCACCTTGGCCCAAAATGGCCCAAAATGTTGTGTTGCAATGTTGCCACTGCAAAAACCCTTCAAAGTCTTTTCAACTTAAGGGCAATCTGTAAAACGACTTAGGCAAATGCTTCCACTTGTTTTTAAATGTTTTTAATACAATCCTCCTGTCAATGTTTTTTCCGAAATATGCACACGAAAACGTGATCATAATTCCCTGTCCCGATTCTGCTGGGGCGCGAAAGGGCGGCGTAAGGGCAGCCTTGGGGTACCATAAGTTTGAACAACCACCACATATATTTGGATGTTTATAACCAACAGTGTGTCTGAAAACTGGACAACCCTCCAATTTATGGCAAATTGTAGTTGTTTTGCCATTAGATGGATTGTTGTGAACCCATGTGAACCCTATGTTTGGACAAATCAACGTGTTGGATACTTTGGATATTGGAAGTATTGTGAACCATGGGTTCAAGAGTGATGGATAATTATGGATCTTGGATGTTTTTTCGCCACTCATGTTGGAATTTGAAATCTGCCTCGCATCTGCATCAGGTTTGATCTTGGTCTCGCCGTTTCTCTCGGTTCAGGAATTGATTCGTGAACCTCGGCCAAGTTGCAGGTTTGGTGTCCCGGATCGACCGTTGATCTCGATTAAAAATGACATAAAATGACGCAAATCCCGCAACTATTTGATTGCTGCTTTCTATCAGATTTGATACAACATCTGATACAACATGATTGTTCCATATTGTTCCAATCCACACCTGGGAACTTTGGGATGATTTCCAATGACTATTGCGAGAGTTTGGATGTCTTTCGACCCAGTCTTGACACTCCAAGGACAGGATTGGAAGCCTGGCAGGTTTTTGTGAGGATTTCTTCGTGGCGAAGGAGAACTCAATGGGGAAAGACTTAAAGAGATGCCATTCGATTGGATTTAGACTTATAGAGGTGTCGGATTTGAAAGAGAGGATTACGAGTCTAAAATTTAGAGGATGACGGATGATCTTCAATGTCAAGTCCATTATAAAGAGGCTGCTATTGGCTGTATAGTGTACCAAGATGTACCAATTATAGTCATCCCGTGGAAATTGACCATGGCACTGGCACAATATCCCATAAATATCCAATATTATATATATATATAAAATGTATATCCCAATAATTTTTTTAAAGTTATTTTATGATATATCTATGCCAATATTTACCAACCATTGTATCCCATATGAACTCATTTATATATATATATATACCTATTATATCCTATTACGGGGAATTCATGATAGGCTCTGAACTCCTCTGCCAGGACGCTGCGCCGAAGGTGAAATGCCCAACCTTCATCCTGCACGGCCAGGCAGATGAGGCGGGGGAACCAAGGGAACAAAGGGAAGCTGGAACAATGTGTCATATACATACTCGTAGATGTTCAACAATAAACATAATAGTAATAAAGATAATGATAATAATCATGATGACAATAATGATACTATGTTGTATATATATATACATATATATATATGTGTATATATATGTATATACGTATATATATATATAATTATATATATATATATCATATCATGTACATAGTATCGTACAAGTTCACATAGGATCCGTGTATGTTTATCATGCACCAGCTGTGACGCACATGAAACATCATTGTGAATAAAGTTGAGTTCTGCAACTTTTCCATACTTTTCCGCTCGATGATGGTCGTGAAACTGGCAAATTTGGTTTCTCTAAAGATGGAAGTCTGCAGGAGTGCATGGATACTGGCTTTTGGACAGGTTGCTGGTAGATCTTTGATTATATGTGTTATTATATATATATTATGTATCTTGTATTGAAAAGGTGCTTTTATTCTTCTTACTGTTGGGGCAACCCAACTCACATTTTCTGGGCACCTGGTAGTTTGAGGTGCGAAAACACGCCCAGCATATTTGGATCCAGTGCTTTGCACATGGTCAGACTGAGGTGGTCAGCAGCAACCATGGCAAGACCCTGTACAAAATGCTCGTGTCCAGAAAACTTCTGGTCATGCCAACTGATATGAGACTCGGACCTCGAGCCTTGAGTTTGTAATGACAACTAAATTGAACCGGTCCAGCTTTTGACCTTGAAAGACTTCAAGTGAAACTGCGAGCAGAATTGCTCTTGAGCCGATATCATTTCCGACATTTTGCCACACCATATACGGTCCTTCGTGACAGTGACAGTTGCCATTTGTGACTGCTGTCCAACCGAGGCAGCACAACAGCAGCTTGCTGAGCAATCTGTACTTTGCCGGCAATGACCACTCTTCACATGTCTGGTGAATTTTCGGATAGGTTGCTTAAATGGGTTTACCAGATGATGTGTTATGATGTTTTATGATGCTTTATGTAGACTTTCGAAAGGGCGGTTTTAGTAGGGAAAATACATGAAAATTAATTACGGAATCTGAAGGATATATCTCCCACAATTGTGATGCAAAAGACTCTTGGTGCATTGATTTTGACACTTTTTTTTAAAGGGAAGATGAAACGCGTGCTTCGATCGTGTTTTTCCTGTTCGCAGCTGAGGCAGCACTTTGTTCTACCAATGTAGCTTGTTCGGCAACCGCATTTTTGGCCCTGATTCATGTTTTCCTTGCAAAGTGGCATAGCCGCATAGCGCAATAAATAGCTATTTTATTTATAGTTCGTTTACGAATTGGCTGTTTAGCCACCTTGAACAGCAGGACAGCCTACTGATGTGAAGACGTCCTTCTTTCCACTACACAAAACGGACAGACCCATGGGGGGGGGGATCTTCCGCATTTCATTGCAGGTTTCACTTCTTTTCACTCCCGGAGACATGCGAAAGAGAACTCCAGGCGCACTGTCGGCCTTGGAGTCAGAAATTGGATGATGCAATATGGAGGCTTTCTACAATGGGGGATCCCCAAAACCATGGGCCCATAAATTCCAAAATGGGATGCAATTTTGGATGATTTGGGGGATCCACCGTTTTAAGAAACCCCCTATATGTAGGAAATGATAGAAAATGTCCCTGACAGTTTACGGATGGTTACGGCATTGTCTCTTCTGTTCTAGTTGGTCTTCACCTTGCAAAATCCATGTCAAGCACGAGCCAAAAGATCACTAGCTCAGAGACCAGGAATTGGTGCAAAACTGCGGGTTTGCTGAACACTGAGTGGTTTCATTCGAAGACCCACAGAGGAATTTCTTAGATAATTAATTGTATGTATTGCTCATTGCTCATTGCTCATGTGTAAACCCCAAACACCTACCAGCACCTGGTGAGATGGATGAGGGAATGGGTGGCGCGCTACCTCCAATTGGAATTGGCAGGTCGTTGCCACGCATTATTTATTCCCGCAGCGCCAAAGCTACACGTCGCATCACCAAGCCCACATAGCGGATACGGGCTGTGTCCACTTGGACCCCAGCCGAGGAATGGAATAGGCACATAAGGAATGTGGGTGTAGGTACAGTTCTTGAAGTGAAATCCACAATCCCTGAGCGCAAAAACGATTGCAACGTACCCCGACAAGCTTTGAGAACATGGGTAACCGAAACATTGCGCGTGGCACACAATGGGCAGCTAGTCAGGATCTCCGTACCTACCAGATCAGGAAAGTTCCAAAGAGGCCATCGCCCCGTCAGCTTAATGAACGCCCACTCTTCATGGCCAAATGCAACTTCTAAAACATTCCACCCTTGCACAAGCCTGTTGGGGCAGAAATCCCTGACGCTACACTGAAAAGCAGACAGCCACTTGCTTGCAGCTTCATCATACTCAGCATTGTCGTGAGCCTGAAGTATCGGCAAAACTACTTTGGTTTTGTACATCTGCAAAATTTGCTTCCTTTGTGCAGTTATGACTCCTGAAACATGAGGAGATGGAAGGATACCAGATTCCACTAGGGACGGAATAGGCAAAGGTTGATAGGCTGCCATCATATCCGCCAACGCTCGCCACCAAGTATGCCCAGCCGTGCGCTGGGCAAATCGCAACATGAGAAGTGTGGGGTGGTAGGAGGGTAGTAGTTCAATCTTTGCCAAGAACATTACTGCACGTAAAATTGCCTTAGTTGCCAACCTCAATCTCCATCCACAAACAGCAACCGCCAGTGGCCCCCGCAAATCACGGCTCCTACACTTCAAAATCTTTTTAGCCCAAAAATCCTGGAGCGAATTGAGTTGCTTGTAAAAGGATGGCACCAAAGGCCGGATCTCGGCAGCAAACAAAATTACAGGTTCTATCCTTTGCACAATTGCTTCAGCCACAATAGGTGCAGGAAAGTGGGCATGAGAGGCAGCATTGAACAGTTCATAAAACAACACTTTTCCTACCCTGAGGACGTGGCTACTTCGTTTAGTGAAATCTAAGAATTCATCGAACTGTACTCCAAGCAACTTGTAGTCACTGCACAACACTGTTGAGATCTGGTCACTTGCTGCTCCAAACATCGGCAGCACCGCCGTTTTTGTTGGCCCAAAGTTGAATTCCACCTGAAACATATTTTCATACCTTTGTAAACCTAGGTGAACAGCCTGATTGACAGCAGTTTGGGATGGGAACACCGCCACAATGTCATCAACAAACATTAACGCGCCTAGCGGGACACTTCCACACGCTTCCATCAACTCAATCCGATCATCTTTGTCAGCGATGGTAGCCAATGTGTAAATTGCTTGGCGCCGTGCCTGTTCCGGCGCTACACTCATTAACAACCTGATACCTTCTGGCGAATTCCAGTTGCAACAACCTGGGGTCAGATCATGGACTTGCGGTGGCGGTGTAAATCTGGCCCATACGGCGGAAATTGCATCAGAGGCAAAGTCTGGAAGAATAGTTTTCGCAGGATTACAACACAAATTGAGCAAGTCTCTCAAAAAAGTCATGACAGATGTGAAGACATGCACCCCGAACTTTCGTCCCTGTGGTATGCCAGCCCCAAATTTCAATGCTGACGAAATCATTCCTTGCAATGATATTACCGCTGAATCCATCCGGAAAAAATCAAAGAGTAGCATCCATTCTGTTTCAACAATTCCAGCGGAGTAGCATGCTACCAACATTGCTTCCCTGGACGCACTATCATAGGCATGCTTGAGATCTGCAAATAGTACGTAAGAATCCAGGCCCTGGAACTGTCTGAGTTGAAGATGCAAAATAACTGCAACCACTACTGCCATCACATCCCATTTACCTCCCATTTGCGATGGACCTGAGAACCTTTCTAATAAGTCTTGACACCTCAGGAGCCATAGCCCATCTTGCGCACTAGCCATGTCAGTACCCTGGCTAATAGGTCGGAGGTTGATGACTTTTCGAACCAGTCTAGGGCCAGCCTTTCTCAAAGGTGTGATTTTTCTAGAGCACCAGAAAGAGGACGTGATTTGCCCCAACCTCCCCAAGTTAACCAAAGCCCTGGTCAATTCCCGGAACGTACTTGCTTCTGCCTTTAAAGCAGCTAGTGGTCCATTCATAGAGCCTTTCTTCTTTTTAATACTGGCCAAGACCTGCCTCAGTTCGTGTTGGGCATACAGCGCATCATTGTGAGCAGTGTTCCACGGGGGGACACGCAGTCCTGGCATACCAATCCTAGGGGCGCCAGCCCGATAGATATCGTTACTCAGGCTGACTATTTGGTAGTAAGCTGAATTCACTTCCGGCTGATTCTTGTCTGCTCGCTCTGTGAGGCTAGCACCAATTGCAGCCAAGGACTCCTGAATTGACATCAAAACTTGAGTATCTTCATGCGTAAGGGCAACTTCGAAGGAGCTTTCTTGTTTAAACCAACTGGAAAGAAAGTGCGCAGCCTGTCCCGGATCCTCATTTTTCAAATGTACATATTTTCTAAACAGATTTAAATTCGTTTCATGGTGCAATTCTTGGAGAGCTAACTTATAGTCCTCATAGCACTCAAAGTCGCCAGGGGTGGGGATAGTTGTGGGCCACCGTTTCTGCGTGCCCCGGGGACCCTTGCGAGCCCGTACCATACTTGATGAATGTCCTATTAAGCAAATCACAGCGTTACGCAGCCATGCTGCAGCATCTAGAACATCTCGCCTCCTTTTAAGTGAAAGGCACCCTGTAGAGACTTCTTCGCACGCACTTAGCGTAGCATCAAGTAACTGCTGGAAAATTGGTTCAGCATCATTTATTGCCTCAGTCCACTCGGAAGTTCTGAGCCATTCAACCCTACCAATTGAATTCTTGTAGGTGGCTTTGAATGTAACCGAGCAAGTGACTGTGACCAGCTCATGATCCGACAATCCCACTGGCGTCTGGCAAACAGACACCTCGATGGGTGCAGAAAGGCTAGCCAACACCAAGTCAATGATTGTACCACTGCTGTGTGTAGGTATGGCAGGGTTGTAAGCTACCAACCCAGCAGCTTGGATAAGCGCACCAATGTCACGATCCATTTTGGTCGGTCTACAGTGTAAACACCTGCACCCCGCATTATGGTCCACAAGCCCAGAGAGGTGGACATTGCCATCCCCTAAGATGAGGATGAGCGCATGTGGGAAGCGTGCTTTTAGAATACCAAACTCCGTGAGAATTTGCTGCCAGCATTCCAAATCTCCCCCTGGTCGCGGGTAGATACCTCCAATAATTAACGCAGGAGTTTCAGTGTTAACATCTTGGCGAACCTCAAGCCATAATACAATATCTGATCCCACATCCTCCATGAGCGTCACCTGGAATTGCAACTCTTCCGCTATGAAGAACCCAATAGAAGCCCAACTTGCCGATCTTACCCCTAGCCACACGAAGGGAAACCCTGGAGGCAATGGAGCTCCCGGCGCAAAGCGGGCTCCAGGGAGCACGCAGATTTTGACGTTTTGTTGGACAAGTTCATGGGCGATGTGCCACACACGCCACCAGAGAATATCATCACTACCCAACGCTGCCAAGCCAGTCCTGCCCGGATTTAAGGTAGCCAACTTAATTCTTTCCAGCACTCCACTCGTAAAATAGTTTCCAGCTAGTACCGACTGCCCCCCAACAAAGGGAGATACTACATGTTTAACCTGACCTGCACCTCGTCCTGCCACCGGTAATACACGCCGCAACAGCCCTTTGAAAGAGGATACCAGATTTGCCAAATGTCGAAGGTGGCTAACCTCCCTCCCACTTACTGTTCGCAAATTACCTGGGTTTACCGGAGAAGCATCGAGAAGGCCCTGAAAATCTTTGAATGCAGCCATAAGCTCCATCTGAGGCGGCGGTATCTGGAGCCATTCCAATACAACATGTTCCAAGTCCCTCACATCCATGGCTGGAAGGTGACAGTTTAAACATAAAGAACAAAACATTG